ATGTCAGTCCATCTGTCCTTTTGTCCATCCGTCTGTACATGTATTTTTGTAAACAAAATGCAGGTTGCATTTGTTATCCGATTGAGATTAAATTGTTGAAATAATATTTGTTTGGCCCAAGAACGAGAACTATTGAAATTGTTTAAAATCGGTTCAAATTTAGATATAGCTCCCATATATACTTTCAACTATTTCGGGTTAATTGTGCACCAAATGGCCCATATCAGTCCAAATGACCTAAAATTTGGCATATTCGACCGGACGACAGTCTAGAAGCAAGTACACCAAATTTATGGAAAATCAGTACAAATATGGCTATAGCTCCCATATATATGTTTCATCCGATCTGGTGTTTAAGTCCCTTACATTCGTAACATACACTCCACACGAATGATATTTGGTACCAGATATCAGATATAGCCCAGAAATACCTCTGCCAAAATGTATCAAGATAGGTTCAGGAATCGATCTAATTTTGATAAAAATCGGAGCTCTGTGAGACCTCTCCTTCGTTGAACGCAATGCTTAATCTCGACCCACTGGATCTTCTGGCTCAGTTTCTCAATTTTTGTACTTGCCCGAATCGTGGATATACCCATACATTTTAATATCTTAGGTGTAGGTGATAGTATACTGTAATAAATGTAATAACCTCCACGCCAAACTCCACGGTCAATTTATACAGATGGAAAATGGCACTGGGCAGTGATATAGCCAAGTGACCCCTTATAGCTATCAACTCAATTGTCACCAAATTTGTAATATACACCCCACAAGAATGATATTTGGTACCAGATATGAGATACAACACAGAAATACCTCTGTTAAATTTTATCAAGATCGGTTCAGATTTGGATAAAGCTTTCATATATATCCTTAACTCGATTTCAGGCTTATTGTGCAAATAACGGATAATATCAGTCGATATATATATTTTTTAACATAATTATTCTCGAAGTGATAACTGCATATGATATGCACCCTATAGAAATATTATTTGGTATTAAAGATTAAAATGTCTCCGTCAAATTTAGTGAACATCGATTTAGAATTGAATGTGCATCCCTTATATTAGTTCCCTCTGCAACCACACTATAACTGCTCTAAAGCCAAATGTGTATAGGAGGTATGATCGACTTCGAATAAATTATTTTGTTACGGAGCTCTTCTAAATATGTATAGTTGTGTAGGGTATCATATAGTCGGTCTTTTGACTTTTCTTTACTGGCTTTGCTTTTTTTCAAAATTACACTATTGATCGCTGATTTCTTAGTAAAATGCACATCCTTTTTGAAACCAGAAATTAATTTTATATAAAAATCAAATCCTGTTTTTAAAGAGAGACAATCGTCCAGCACTTTGAAATAAAAAAGAAACTTCGCCCTCCTTATCTAGAATTAATTTGTATTTTTACAATGTTTTAAATTACAATAATTTTAAACGTACACTTGCTAAAAATAAAACTACAACAAAACATGTAACTACTAAAACAACATATTTCGATAGTACAAAAACATATCAGTTAACAGCATAGCACGCACCTTCTTCATCCGTATATTGCATGCCTTGCAAGAGCACAAGGAAGACCCACGAGAAGAGCAATGTCATACCAAAAAAAAAAACGAAAACAAACAAAAAACATACCCTCCTCGACTGTTCACCTCGAAAACGATTAAAATAATGGAAAAGATGAAAATCATGAAAAAGGAGAAGAAAAAGATGCTGCCAGGCAGACATACACACAACGAGAAGTATACAATGTTTACAACGTTACTCAAAAGGAAGACATCTCGCTGTTTTTTGGGGAGGGGGGTTCTCTAAAGTAAATTTCGCGTTTAATATCGCTCGTGGTTGTAACTGATGTTAATTTCATTAAAAAGATATCAAACCTAAAGACGCACACACGCACAGACTCGTTCACTAGCAGAAAGACAAAATTGAATCCTTGAAGGGGTTCCTTGACATCGAAACAAAACAAGTGGAAACTGAAAATGTTTTCAGAAAACAAAATAAACAGAAAAATGAGAGAAAAAACTAGGGGAAACTGAAAAATGAGTCTATCGCACACACAAAACTGAACAGTAAAGAACTTACTGATAAAATATGTTGCGGTTTCTTCTAGGTTTTTTAGTTTTATTGTTTATATTTTCTTTTTTTATAATTCGTAGAGAATAAACAGCAAAAATAGACAAAAATCGTGTAATATAGATTCTTCGTCCCATATTCAAATTAAAAATTTATCAAGCACAGATATATGTTTTTGATTGGTCATTCCAACTCGAATGTACGTTAGCAATACTACTCACGATTAATCGGATATAGCTATATATCGTAATCTGGGCCGAACTTTGTATGCCCTCCACCATTTGGAACGAATTTGACAATTTTCGAAAAAATAAAATCCGTTAAAATTTCGGTTGAAATCTTAAAAAATACCGAAATGTATACGTTATTTTAGGGTCTATTCGACGAAGTGGACCTGCATAGACAATATTTACCATTACAAAATTCAAATGTGAAACTTGAAAAAAATCGGTGAATAATGTAGCTAAAATCATCAAAATACCGAATACAGGGAGGAAGCATTATATGGTTCCTGCACATACAATTTTCTGTCATAAGCTTTAGTATCCATTACGAACTTCAAATACCAAATTTGAAACAATTCCGGTGAATAATGTCGTTAATATCATAAAAATACCGAAAATCAGGAGGTACCGTTATATGGAGGCTATACGAAGATGTGGACCTGTACATACAGATTTGAAACATTTTCGATGAATAATGTCGCTTAAATCACCAAAATACCGAAAATAGGGAGGTACCATTATATGGGGGCTTTACCAAAACATGGACCTACATAGCCCATTTTCAAAGTATTTATTTCATTAAGGAGCAAAATAATATACAATCACCCTATCAAAACAGAATAAGTTGCTATATGGGAGCTATTTTCTGTATATATTTCTACTTTTTGCCTCAGATGGCGTGGAATTCACCATTCAAACATTCATTTTAACCTTGTCTTATCCTTGAAAACATTTGAAACCAAACATAATTGCGCATAAATATTTATGTATTTGAAGTTGCATATAATGTACAAATCTATATGCTCCAAGTTTGTAGGTATTTTTACTTTGAAAAGTTTACCCCTTAAATCTGATATTGTAAACGTGTGATTGCATCGTAAATTATGCATTAAATCTCCAATCAATGTCAATTCACGGATTCATCTTTTGGATCAAGTTGGCTGCTCGGGTTGCCTGCCTGAAAGTCAATTTAGAAATATTGTTGTGAAGCATTTAAAAGAAGACAAAAATAATCACAAGCCACCGAATCATAGGGGACTGGCAACGGCTGTATGTTGGACTCTGAAGCCAAGTGAAGTAAAAGAAGTATTTCGTTACAGTAATATTTGTTTGTTTGTCCGACTGCTGGTGTCTGTGTCTGATGCTGCTCGCACACCAACATGTTTGTGCCACGAAGAGAGTAACAATGATTTGAACAGGACATCATTTATGTTACAGACGAACAGACGTTATGTGTACGTTTTCAATGGCAAAAAGAGAACAATGCATTTAAACATTAACTGCAACGTCCATATATATGCCTTTCAATGGCATAAGTTTATGTATGTGTATATGTACTGACTGTTTGCCCCCTAAACAAAATCCTCAAAGCTATACAAAAGATTTCAAGTTTTGGCAACATTGTTTTATTTTAATGTTCAATATCGAATTTTCAGAGTGTTGCTTTTTACATTGCTCTCAGTTTCCATTCGTTTGCTGCATTCACGTTCCATTGGTACTGACACGAGATGAATTCAGTGCTGCTTATTCAAGCCTGTTTGCTTTAACTTCCCTGTCAATTACCTCAAAATTATTGTTGCTTTTGTTTTTATTTATTCGTGATTTAAACGTTAAATGTTTATAGCAGGGAATAAAGAGAATACCATGGTTCTAAATATAAATCGGCAAATAAATATGGATGATGCCAATCAATGATGAGTAGAAGGGAAAAACAAAACGTGTTTTCATGTTTATTCTTTTCTCGTTGCTTTTGATTTTTGCTATGGGCAAATCAATCAAAGTGCAATTTAAATATATAACGCGAATTCCACGGCTGGTGATTGGAAATGAAAGGCACAAATATATCCGTAGAAATTATTTTATCTTCCACCATCATTTTATTTTTAAACATTAAATTTTTCTCCAAAATATATGTCTTTGTATCAAACCCCGTCTGTCAAAGCTATAAGCCAGTTGAAGATCTGGCCAGAAGCGTCTGAAAACTAAACGATAATATCTCATCATGGATTACAAATCCCACTGTTATTATTTTTCCTTTTTAGGAACAGCACAATGGACAAGTAGGTATTCGAGTCAAGGAGTTGTCTTAAGACCAACTACGCATCCGTTAGCCTATCCTAATAATATAATACACAATTTGTTTACACTTTTTCCAGGGCCTACCGACAAGTAGAAGAGCCAGGAATCGAGTTCCTTTTCAAAGTCTATTATTTAAAGTTCCTTCGGATCCAAGGTTTTCCAAATGCTAGTGTAGAAAGAATGAAAGATCCACCCTGGATGGCATGTCTAATAACTTTGATGCATGGTAGAAACCTTTTTTTTTTTTTTTTTTGAAAGAGCCACACTTTAACTGAAACTTGACGTTCACTCACGCGACGCACTGAGTTCTTCAAATTCGAAGCTAAAGGCTTTTTCAAAACTCTAATATAACGAATAGAAAATACGAATAAGTTTTCAGTTTCAGGCATTTCTGTATACCGTAATCATAGCTACGAATGGTCAATGTTTAGCTAATTTGTCATAGGAACGAATTGGACGAGGATCATTCAATTGTTATTATTGAAGTAGAACTCAGGACATTTCACTGTGTACACCTGATTAAACGTTTTTGCTAAATTACAAGTAGTCACAAGATAGTCTTGAAAAATAGTTATTAGTAAAAAATTCTACATATTTCACATATTTGCTTACCTGCTCCTTTGCCACTTCCATTCGCCGTGGCATCAATGCCAATTGTTCCTGTGGCTGTAGCCGCGGCATTTCCAATGCCAAAACTTGATGGTTTCTTCCAACCTCTCCAATTATTATACAATGATTCAGGCTCTGAACTCCAGCTACATAAAGAGTCCTCTTCAAAACGATCGGAATCATCAAAGCTATAACGTTCTAAATCCTCTTGGACCCAATCGACGGCAGCTGCTCCACCACCGCCACCACCGCTGGCTGCGCCACCTGCACCGCCAGCTGCAGCATTGCCACCTTCAGGTGGCGGTATGGGCATTGCTGGGTTTCGACGATTCTGTACATGATCTGGTCCACCGGCATTATTGTTATTATTGGCAGCCTGATTGTTATTTCGATTAACCATGATGAGACTGTTGTTTTATTGTAAAGTTAGAGGGTGGTGATGTTTGCAGACGACGAAAAATATATATATTTACAGAAGTATTTATTATTAAAATATGTTAAAGTTCTAATTATATTAAAAAATATTTTAGCTGCTTTTTGAAATTGTTTTATTTTTGTTTCTTCCTTCTTTACACTCCCCGACAACGCGACAGGTTTGGGTTTTTTGCCAATAGTTTTTTTTTTTTTTGTGTGTTTAACAGAAGTGTCGGATTCCTGATTTTATTTTTGTGGATTATTAATGCAGATGAGTTGGTTTCAAGCCGTAAAATTATAAAGTACTGACTTTGCGTTTTTTTTTTTTCTTTGCTTTTTTGACACAATGGAAACAAATAAAATGGGGTATGAATGCTTTCTTATATATTTTTTGTGTTTCTTCTTTATGTTGTTCTTAACTCCACCACAAACACACACTACCAGCCAAGTCCTTTTTATGTGTTTCGTCTTTTGTTTCACGTTATTGCCCCCCACAGATGTTTTGTTGTCGCTGCTGCTGCTACTGCCAAACGATGATGCTGCTGCTGTCGCAGTTTGTTTATTCTTCTTTTTCTCGTCGTCGGCGTTGGGATGTGTATGCAACTGCGCGGCGGTAAGGGCTTTTTGGCAGTAAAAAGGTCAATTTGTTGTTGTTGTTGTTGTTGTTATTGTTGGCTTCTGGTACTCATCAAAGTAAATATATTCAAATTCCCTTTGTTATTACCAGACGAGCAGGGTTCACATTGACCAATATTACAATTGTGACAAACTGTAAAGTTCTTTGCACATTTTTTCTTTACAACGAATTTATACAAGTAATTTTGGCGAATGTAATTGGAGTAGCGTTACATTAGAGTTCTAAACACATTTTAACAAAGTGTCCACTCACTATTAAGCTGTCTGATAGCTGTGTAATGACAAATTACTTTTATTTACAAGTACATTCACTTTCACTCTTTGTCAGTTCTCTCCCTCTCTCTATCTGTCTGTCTCTCTGTTCTGTGTTGCGTACTCTTTGTTGATGTTTTTCTCTCACACTTCTCAATTACTTTGAATTTATGTATTTTTGTTTTGGTTTTTTTCTTTTTCGATTATAACCTTCTATCTTCTTAAGAAGGGAATAATAATTGCTTTCAAGAAGCAAGGAAGAAATACAAAACGAAAAGTCCCACTCCTGAATACAACAGAAGAATCTTTCTTTTGTGTTAAGGTTGGTCGGTGTTTGCGTTCTGTAGCCGCTGCACTGTGTACGTTGACGTCGATCGTTGGTCTCTGTCGACGCTGACGATGTTATTTGTTATTATGTTAGTGCATTGACTTTTTAAAGGTGGTTTTCGAAAACACATTCACTCACACATTGACCATTTGTACAAAGTAATGAAGTAACGCAACTCGCGACAAAGAATAGCAATGTGACAAAAGGCCAGCTTCACTGTATTGTTGTTTTGTCGTTTTAATATTCGTTGATTCGTTGCTCTTACGCGCTTACGCACAACACAAAACAAAAACAGCTGCTAAACACTTGGCCCCCAACACCTGAATTTGCTTATGTATCGTCGCTGCTGTTAGTTCGCTTTGTTCAATGTTTTTGTAACAAATTCGCCTGTGCATGTCGCAAAATTGCTGCTGTTTTGCTTTTTTGATTCTCACCCCCACCCAAACACCATTTTTTCTGAATTCTTTTCACTTTTTGTTTCTCACCAAAATATTTTTTTTTTTATTTCTCTCTTTACTTTCTTCTTATCGTTCAAACTTTTTTGTGGTTGTTTCTCTGCCACTTCACTTCTTCTTCGTTTACCCTTATATTACATTACCAAATTTTTTCATCTTGAAATTAATATTGAAAATGGAATTGAATCATTTTAAATTGTTTTTTTTTTACAAATTTTCACTTTCTATTTTCCAGACATTGTTATACACGCTCACATATTTATGTATTTTCATTTGCTTGGTCGACTTTTAAAAGAAGAAAAACTATTTTTTGACGACCTTAGAAATGGTGGCTTTTGGAATTTTTCATTTACTATTTGCTTGTTGTATTCACATGTTTGGTTGTTATTTTATTGGGTTTCCACTAAAAACTATTATCCTTTTGCTGTTTATATGGATTTCAATTGATAATTGTGAGGACTACAGTAAAAATTTAAAATTTTCCGTCGCGTCGTTGGGAGCTATAAAAACTTTGTTCAATTATCAGCGAATAGGGATAAGTTAGTCGACTTTTGACTACGAATGAATGGCAAAACGGACATCGAAATAAGGATCAAAACGGAGCTAAAAATATAAATATGAGTTAAAGCATGTTTACATGCAGTGGATTTAGCTATTAATTCTATGCTTATCTGACAAATCTTAATTCATTTGACGGAATTTACTTTGATGTCGATAGTTGTAAATATGGAGACATGGTAGAAGAATATAGGTAGACGCATCGACACAGCTGCTAGGACAGTGAACTGTCAAACCAAATTTGAAATTGAAAATGTTGAAGGAAAATTTATTTAAATTTGTAAAAATTGTTGAAAAACGAGTATTATAATATCCTCCGAATGACGTCGTATAAGAAAACATATAAAAATCTACTTATATTTGAAAAGAAATTTAAAAACTTTTGACAGATCAATGCTCCCAAGCGTTGATGCATCTACCTGTATTTTTCTACCATGATATGGAGACAAATATTATTTCCTGAATAAAATTCCAAAATTACTCCAGTCGAATAAGATACATATGTTTTAACACATTGAATTGTATTTAGAAGATAGTAACAAAAATAATCACATTTTTGTATTATTTTCATCACTGTCTTGTATAATTTCAAAGTACAGTAGTCTAATCATGTCAAAATACATACACAAATCAAAAAAATATTGAAAATTTTTAAATTCTGTTGAAATCAATTTTCACATGTATAGATTTTTGGAAAGAATAACTTTTTGCTTTTTACTTGAAAAAATTCTAATATTAAGAACATAAATGAAAATATGGTGAAAAAGCATCAAATAAAATATATCAAATAACAATAAAATAGTAATAAAATTAGTTGTTATTAAAGAAATTGAAGTAACAGGACTCTAGCCTATTTATATGTATTTTTATTATTTAATCAATCTGCCCTACCTTGTAATTATTCTATTAAGTGTGTATGTGGTAGTAAAATAAAATTATGATTCATTGCAATTAATCTTGTATTATAGTACGTTTATATATATGAGGGTTAACCCACTGGATTTGGATTTAAATTGTCATATCCATTACTTTTACTTCAAATAAATCCTCTCAAAGAAGGTTAACCCTACAAAAAGTTCTCACGTAAATATGACATAAGCCCCATTGGAAAATTTAATTTAATCAAAAGTGTTATTTGTTTGTTGTGTGAAAATATATTAAATTCAATTCAAATAAATTTAAAAACACATCCATAAAGTATAATTATTTATAAAATACAATATAATCAGAATGTAATTAAAGGCGATAAAAGCATATGCAAGTGTGTGATTGTAAAAATGATGAGTCATATGTAAAATGACAATTTTGAAATACACACGGAAATGCATATACATTATAAAAGTGACAGCAAAATTGCAACTTCGCAATCGCTTGTTACCATGGTAAAATCAGGAGGCTTCGTAAAACTGTAGAAATACAATCCGCTTCCTGTCAGAAATATCAGAATTATATGCCATAACTTGTTTTTATTTATTTGGTATTTTTCCTCATTTTTAAAATGAGTTAAATATCGCAAAAAATTTATGAATTGGATTTGATGAATTGGAATGATTGGATTTTATTTCAAGAAATCGATCCAAACTGTTGAATCATTCAATTCCATGGCAAAACTGGTTAATATTTTAACATGCGCCCAGCAATGTACGTTTCTTCCAATCACTGTTTTTAAAAATATTTAGTTTTTATAGCCTCCACCCATGGTACAATAAGGAGGTAGAACAGCTTCGCAAATCTACAGAAATACACCCCTGAGGCTATGCCCGCTTCCTGTCAGACTCATTGAAAATTATATGCAAAAACTTGTTTTAGTTTTTTTTTTCAGATTTTTCAAAATGTGTTAAATAGATCGAAAAATAAATGAAATGGCTGGATTTCGCTCAGAAATATGGCTAAACTGGTTAATAGCTTTATTGCGCGAGCCGCAATCTACGTGTCTTCCAATCATTGGTTTTGAAAATATTTTGTTTTTAATTTTCAAAACAATAAATACATACACAAAATTGGCAGAAGTTGGGCACACTTAGGCTGGAAATACATAAAGAGCATATTTGGCTGGCTTAAGTCATCGGCTGGCTTCTTCGGAAATGAACAAAGGAGCCTAGGCCCAAAATCGAACTAAGTCAACCTAAAACTCCTTTGTTCATCTACGAAGAAGCCAGCCGGTGACTTAAGCCAACGAAATATGCTCTTTATGTATTTCCAGCCTTAGAAAAAAATTGTAATCAGCTGGTAGCTGGTCCACCATACTGTGGAGGGTATATTAACTTTGTCATTCAGTTTGTAACTCCTCGAAATACTCATGTCAGACCCAAGACGTTGATTAGTTGGTTGCTTAGTAAAAAGTAAGAGAAATTGGCTCAGCATTGAAAATATCTTTATTTTGAAAATCGCAAGCGTAAAGGTGAGAATACATGAAACGCTCTTTTGATCGGCTTAAGGCTGCAAATACATAAAAAGCTTGAAGTCATGGCTAGGCATATTAATGCCAAATTATAATGAAAAACGACGGCAGGATTTTAGTGCGGCTCTGTAATTCCTATGTGAAATGTCACAAAATAGGCCGTGCCATGACTTCAAGCTTCTTATGTACTTAGCCCTTAAGTCTTCGACTAGCTTCTTCGTAGAGGAACAAAGGTCTTTTAGGTTTACCTAGTTCAGTTTTGGCCCTATGCTCATTTGTTCTTTTCCGAAGAAGCCAGCCGATTACTTAAGCCAGTCAAAAAGCCTTTTTTGTATTCTCACATTAATTGTAATTTTGTAAATTGTTGCATAGAAGGTAAAGTCATGCTAACATATGATTAAAATTTTTTTCTCATTGTCAAAATATATATTTATAAATACACAAATCAGAGATGGAAACCTAGTTTTTAAACAGTGAAATTTGACAAGGTAAATTACAGAAAATTCAGAGATGGGTATGCTTATTTGAAATGACTTTACCTTCGTAATTTGACCATGATTTCTGGCTTTAAGGTGGGAATACATAAAGAGCTTATCTGGCTGGCTTAAGTCAATGAATAAGGAGCCTCGGAAATGAACAAGGGAGCCTAGGGCCAAAACCGAACTAAGTCAACCTAAAATTCCTTTGTTCATCTACCATGGTAGAAGCTTGGTACAATAAAAAGGTAGAACAGCTTCGTAAAACTACAGAGATACAGCCCTGATTCTATGCCCGCTTTCTGTAAGATTTAGTCAAATTTATAGGCAACAAGTTGCTTTAAATTATTTAGTATTTTTTGTTCATTTCTAAAATGAGTCAAATAGCCCGAAAGATGAATGAAATGCCTTCCAATCATTGATTTAGAAAATATTTTGTTTTTATTTTTCAAAACAACAAATACATACACAAAATTGGCAGATCAGATGGGAGCTCTACCTTACCTTTTTATTGTACCATGGGTAGAAGAATATAGGTAGACGCGTCGACACAGCTGCTGGGACAATGATCTGTCAAACCAATTTTGGAATTGAAAATGTTGAATGAAAAATTATTTAAATTTGTAAAAATTGTTGAAAAACGTGAATTGTAGTACCCTCCGAATCACGTAGTATAAGAAAACATATAAAAATCTATTTATATTTGAAAAAACATTTACATTTTTTTGACATATCAATGCTCCCATGCGTTGATGCATCTACCTGTATTCTTCCGCCATGTCATCTACGAAGAAGCCAGCCGATGACTTAAACCAGCCAAATATGCTCTATATGTATTTCCAGCCTTATTTCTGTTTATGTTTTGTTTCGAGACGACAGCAGATTGCTTGCAAGTTTTTGCAGGGATTCCGCGGTTTACTTTTCACAGTTTTCTTGCAAAAGAGAAAGAACTACCCTACTCTCTCAGAAAAATGATGTTGAACAATTGAACGTATTTAATATTTTTTTCTTCTTTAAAATTAGTTTTTTTTTCAGAAATATGATTGAAATGATGCTTGGTTGAGACATGGTAGAATCAAGAAGTTAAAATGTAAGGTATATTTATAAATCCATTGTATATATACAAATCAGAGATGGAAACCTTTTTTATTCAGTAAAATTTGACAAGGATACAGAAATGGAAATTGTTATTTGAAATGACTTTACCTTCTTAATTTAACCATTGGTTGAGACTTAAGCTGGAAATACATAAAGCGCTTCTGGCCCAGGGAAAAAATCGAACTAAGTCAACCTAAAACTCCTTTGTTCATCTACGAAGAAGCCAGTCGATGACTTAAGCCAGCCAAATATGCTCTTTATGTATTTCCAGCCTTAGATCTATTAAACCTACTAGCCATGGTAGAAGAATATAGGTGGACGCATCGACACAGCTGCTGGGACAATGAACTGTCAAACCAATTTTGGAATTGAAAATATTGAATGAAAAATTATTTAAATTTGCAAAAAAGGGGGAAAACGCGAATTATAATAACCTCCGAATGACGTCGTACAAGAAAACTTATAAAAATATACTTATATTTGATAGAATATTTATTTATTTTTTTTTTTTTACATATCAATGTTCCCATGCGTTGATGCATCTACCTGTATTCTTCTACCATGGTACTAGCTCTGTGTCTGCGCAAAATTTTTCAACTTTTGCAACTTTTACTTGCAACTTTTACACAAAATAGTTACAAAATTCAAAAGACACTATTGGTCTGCTCCACAACTGCAAGAATGTAAATCTTTTTACTATGATAACCGATTTTCCCTTTATGATATCGAAAAAATTACAAAACTAGTAGATTCTTGCAGGTTCTGGAACAGGGCATTTTTTACCTACAAAATTTACTATTTTTAATAATAAAAAAAAATCCAAAGAAATTTTACATAGTACCTAATTTAATTTGACTTTAATTAAAAATATTTGCAAAGCTTCACTTGTGAACATCTTTGTTGTGTTTTGTTCTGTTTCAGCGCCATCTGTCTGGCGAACATTATGTTACATGCAGTGTAGCAACGGCCAACACATTCATGCAGTTTTGACATTTGCCTAAAACGCGTTCTAGCAGTTTGACATTTTTGACAGCCGAAAACTGCTATACTTTCTTTTCTAATATCCGGTT